TATATCTGAAATTTGCTAGAATTCCAAACATTTGTCTAAAATATTAATACTTCCGTGATGTATTATTTGAGTCCCAGTTTCCAAAGTAAACCTAAATCGAATTTTATGGAAACTGAAATAAATAGCGTTTCACCTGTGAAAACGCCCAATAAATCAAATGGTACAATTTTTTTTTTTTTCAAAAACAAATCTAAATTTTAAAAGTGTTGAAAAAACCAATTCATTTACCAAACCCACCAAATCGTCAGAATGGTAAGAAATCGTAAAAAAGGAAAATTAAATATAACCATTCTTATAGCTTTGTCATAGTCGGGTAATTAAAATGTTGTCTGTAGATAATAAATAAACGGTTGAATATCTTGCAAATTTTTTGTGCATATTAACCGAAGTAAAATCGACACCGACGAAATTCGACGCCGATGGAACCCAAATATAGTCACTGATCGGTTTCTTCGCAGTCTTGTGGTTTCTTTCCGAAAAAAAGAGGTCTTCTTAGGTTTTTAGGCGAGCAGGTGATAATTTAAATAGGTTGAAACAATCACAAATTAGTGCTAGAGATGTTAAATATAGATAAGATAATAAATATATTAAGAATTAATTTGGAACATACAGTAGAGCCAAGCAGAATGCATTTTATGAATCGATTTGATTCCTTTCTTTTAATCTCTCCAACTCGCATGGTTCCCACTATATTACAATTTGAAAAAAAAGAAAAGATGTATATGTATATATTGATTATATATGGTTTATTCATGTGCACCTTTCTATTTTTACATAACAATTTTATCACATTTCCCGCGGCAAATTTGGAGCATCCGAGAATGGTGAGTTCATCCCACTGCTTTAGACCTCTATTTATAAAAGTAAACATATATAAGTTCAAATCCGTGTTAATATATTTTCAAATATATCCCTTGGTAGAAAAAAAAAAAAGTTTTATACATAATATAAACTGCCCTCCCAACAAAAAATGGGTGCTCCCTAAGTATTAAGAGAATAACGTGTTTTTCTCTTCTGTAGTGAGAAAACGGCTATAACGATTTTGATGAATCCAATTTTCTTTTTAATATCCTTTCAATTTTCATACATGCAGTAAATTCTCCAGAAAATTAAAATAAAAAAAAATATAAAGAAAAGAAAATGTTTTGGGGCCTAACTCGAAAGTATACTAAAGGAGTCACTTTATTCAGACTAACTTATCGGCTGACATTTTTATAGTTTTTTAAATTTCGGAAACCTATTTCTTGTAAATAATTAATAATAAATTAAAATTAATAAGTGCAGACTCTACTCGACTACTTAGACCACTACTGCGTGGGTTCGATTACCGCAGGGGGACCAGGAGATTCATAGTGAGGTGACCGACCTCTGTGTCTTAAACCATAGCTCCGGGTTAGGGGTTGGGTATAAGGCTGATAACCCTCTCTCCCATAAAATAGTGGCCGGAAGATTGAACAAATAATAATAATAATAAAAAGGCTTAGCGAACCCGAAGGTTCGTCGCTACCACCAATATATTTTTACATTGGCTTGAAATATAGAATAAGTGCCGACACCACCAATCGCTTATTACAAACCTCCCTCCACCGTTCGCCGTCCAATCCCAGTCCCTTCAGATCGGCTTTAATGCAATCTTCCCACCTTCGCTTCGGTCTACCCCTCGGACGCTTACCATTCGGCACAGCAAATATTAACCTTCTAGGAATTCTAGATTGAACAAAAGATTGCCTATGATCCTTCAGGAAAGTTCCTGATGAAGAGGGAGTGAAATGCGATCTCGTCCGGTTAGTAAAGCACGTGCTCCCTGGATATCTCGAAGAAGAGAGGGTACTTGTTAAATACCTGGTCGGGTCCGACTGATATTTGCCAATGTTTATAACCTTAACACTGATGATATCTTAGTATTCATATTTGTTGTATTATATTCATATTATTGAAATTATAAACAAAAACAAATGTAATAATAAAAAAATACTTTTATTTTACAAGATATATATTAAATAGACGAAAAAATTATACATGTATAATGAAAAAACATTACAACATATAAATAATGAAATAATAAAAATAGGCAAAAAATAGACAAAAATAAATGAAATAATAAAAAACCACTTAAACAACATATGTGCATATAATATTTGATAGCCTCTTCTTCTGAAGACGGCAATTACCACAATGTAACAACATCCCCTGTTACAAAAATAATTTTACGAAAATAACACTAACTTACAGCTTACACAAGGAACAAAAAATAAACAATGGAATAACTTAGGTTAGAGGAGATAAAAAGAGAGGTTACGTGAAACAATATGAGTTAACAAGGGAGGTTTCGACCCTACCAGCTATTTAACAAGTACCTAAAGGGAACCCTACACGGTAATTCATGAATGAACGTCACAGGAAGTGCCAAGATTGCCCGCTATCGCTTTGATCATGAAGACCCTTACACAATGACTTCAATCATTACTTATGTGAAGTTTCCACTTTTGTTTTCTCTCCAATTTATTGCCTACTTGACTATTTAAAGAAAAAATAGTTGAAAATGGTTAATAATAATATAGACTAGGGATATAAACAAATATTTACTTTTATGAAATTATTTACTTAATAACGAGACCTAGGTAAACTAACCTATCTAGTACTAAGTTTAGTCTCAAAGAAAATCGTTTTGACAAAAGTTAGTAAAATATAAGTCTACTACTTACAAAAATTAAGGAAAGGTATTTCGAAAACAATAAATTTGTTGAGGAAAATGGGAAAAGAACTGATAAATATACACAACGTTCAAGTTTTTTTTTTTTCCTAAAGTAAATTGAGAAGTTTCCTCATTTTTTTTTTAATTTGTTGCCCACTTGACTATTTAAAAGAAATAGTTGAAGATGGTTTAAAATTATAAACAAGGGATATGAAAAATTATTTAACTATTTACATATAATGAAAATCATAAATTTATAATGGTTGTGAGGCCTAGGTAACCTAACCTATCCAGCAGTATGGTTAGTCTCCCCACTACTTTTACCTCAGCCCCCCCTCCACTTCTTGTGAATGAACCTTTGATTTCCGGATGTTCGGAAATCCGCAGCGCACCTCCATCAGTACTTCATTCACTACCTACGACTTCACTATGACAATTCGGAACGTCATTAGTGCAATTCCGATTGACCGTGTAGGGTCCCCTTAAGAGAGAACCAAACGATCACTACTGTCGTCTATAACAGCCCCGGAAGAAGACTCATGGCTTAAAAAGTCGAAGTCAACAGGCGTAAAAAAAAAAAAATAAATAAATGTTTCTTTTGAACGAAGATAATATTTTCGAAAAATTGGAGATGGCAGTCGCTGACGCTTGAGGCGCCAAACGATCAACGCCTTTAAGAAGGTTACGCAATCTCTGACAAGCCTTCTCCCCCTCCCCTCTCCCACTTCGTCGCAATAGAACGTCGATAGGACCCGACAAAGTTATTTTTTGATTACTTGATATAAAACCTAATAATACTTTTACAATATATTTTTACATTGACATTAAATATAAAGGAAAAGTACTGCGAATGTGAAAAATTTCGGAATCCGGTTTTCAACAACTGAGGATCGAGAAAGGTTTGGCACCTCTCTAGAAAAATTAAATTATATATTTTAAAATAATTTTATATAAAAAACATTTTTTTGTTAATGAAATTATTAATAATTTTTATCAAGAAGGTAGTCTGAGGTGAAAGTCATAAAAATACTAAAATAATAAGAAAAAAAAATATTTTATTCAAAGCCAACGTTTCGACGTAAATGGGGAGGTCTTCTTCAGGGAGTTGTGGAGCTGAACTCCAGTTTTCTTGCATAGTCGGAACATTAGCTTTAAATTCTTTTACTATTTAATTCTTTTTTATGACCGCCACCCCGGACCATCTTCTTAATCAATAATATACCACGGTCAACCATCAAGTGTTTGATCATTTTTAAATTAAATCCACTTTAATTTTTTTTTTTTTTTTTTATTTATATGATATTTACAACTGTATACAAAAAATACATCTAGTAAATTCGCACATGGATATAATGACATGAAACATATGTTTAGAAACTACCCATTAGTAGCACTCTAATAATATGTCTATATTAGGAGATCACGTGACCATCTTCTTTTCAGACGCCTCGGAGGGTTATCAGGAATTGTGAATAGGAAGCAAGGTTAGAAACAAGAGGGTTGGGATGGTTATGGAGTTTATTATGGAAGGACAGATATCTGGATTGGGGCCAAATCGAATACATATGGAACATTAAGGTCATTATGGATAATTTTATTTGTAACAAAGTAAGGAGCATTGAGGATTCAACGAAGGATTTTGGATTGTAAGGATTGGATACGAGAGGAATTTAAAGGTTTGGTGGAGCCCCATAGCTCTACTCCGTAAGTCCAAATAGGCCTTATTATAGTCATGTATATGAGTCTTTTGTAATTAATTGAAAGGTTAGAGTGTTTGTCCAGTAAGTGTTAGAGTAGTCGGAAACGTCGAGCGATTTCTTGTCGTTTCAGTCTGGTATGAGGATTCCAAGTTAGACGTTTGTACAGATGGAGTCCTAGGTAACACTTTAATTAAATGAAAATAAAAATGAATTCTGTTAAGCCCTGATGTTTACGTTTAGTTAAAATATTACTATTTTATCATTTTTTGTTGTTCGGATTGTTTATCGTAGGACTATATTTTTTTTTTAAATATTATTTTATTTCACATCTTATAAATGGAGAAGCTTTTGGTTTTTAGCGCCATATTTATTTCTATAAAATTCAAATACAACTTTAAACTATTACAAAAACAGTTAATTATATAACATAATTTTATAATTGTTATCCTGTACCTTTAATCCTAAATTTTTCTATTTAAAATATCAACAATTTAAGCAATATTCTAGGGTCCTCCCCAAGGTCGATGGTACACGAATGTCTTTGTCTTGACTATTTATCATCTATAAATAATAGGAATTTGATAGAATATTTTGTTTTGTTGCAGTTAACGGAGAGTTGATAACACATTGCCAGCACGATGAAGCTGTCAACATCCTGAGAAACGCTGGCGATATCGTCATGCTTACGGTCAAACATTACAGAGCGGCCACGCCTTTCTTACAGAAAGCAAGTGAGTGATAATTTATTATGTATTTCAATAAATATATTAATATATATTGAACAGAACAGTAATCTAGCAATACTGGCAAGTTTATGTTCATATTTTACCAAGCCTCTTTAGATTTTTTATTGAAGTTAAAACTTCTTTAGGCGGGTGGAGAATCCCTTTTTTGTGGAGAGTGAATTAGATTGAGCTGTCAGATTTCCGATGTGTAACGCTTGGGTAAAGTCGGCTGGTATCGACTAATTGAGTGTTTTTGCATATGGATTAAAATATGTCAAAAACTAAACTTGTTGTTAGGAAGTGAAATGTTTATCGTTTCATTTTCTTTGTAATGAACTATTATTCAAAATTGTATCTTAACGCGACGACGCGTTAGAGAGGCGAAATGGGACAACCAAATGATAACTAGTTTTATTGAAGACTAGTAGGCCAGTGCGAAAAATTCGCACAGTCTATTTTTATCTAATGTCAAATTAATAATAAAATAAAATAATGCAACGTATCAAAAGATAAAGGAATCAATTGTTGATTCGATCAATCTATGATCGTTGGGAAGATGAGTTATTACTCTTCAACACCATATCAATAAATTTTAGATTTGACGCGTTTAAAAACAATAAATAAAGAAAGACTCCTCAAAGGTTTTTGTTTTATATCTCTAGTTCTATTAAATTTACAGGAGTCTGTTTTGTGCCACTTGTGTAGGTTATGTAGTCCTAACCTAATGTAAATTTTCGTGAGGATACGTGGAGTCATTTTTATGTTACCCCCACTTTTTGTGATTTTCGATATAAGATCGAAGGCGGGGAGGCTTGGTACCGATTTGGTGCAAAAAAAAATATTTTTTTTTTATTTCTGTGAAAATTCATATTTGAGGATTCATACAGGTGCGAAATACAAATCTCAACTATGTTTTCCCTTGAAAAAAATATTCTTAAATACTCATTTGCTTTCTACTTAGATCGTAAAGTAATTTGATAACAAACTCGAGGATAAATGTGGCCTTCAAAAATATTGAGCTGTTTGGCGTAACCTACACCCCCAAAATTAACGAGGTTATATAAGACAAACGGCCCAATATTTTTGCAGGGTACCTGTTTTCTAGATTTTGTGATCAAATTATCTTAAGATTCAAATAGATAGCAAAAGAATATCTACGAATTTTTAGTTCCTAGTTAAATAGACAAAGTTTGTCCCCATGCAGATTGAAAACGTCCTCATTCCAAGAGTTTTCATTAATAAAATAGTTGTAGATTACGGTGAGACAGAACTATCAATGAAGTTTCAGGCGGAGGTTAATAATTCGATAAAAAGTTGTATGTACCACGGACTATTAGTGCTTATTTATTTCTAGCCTTCATTAATAATGGAAGTTAAAAATTTCATCCCTAAACTTAACAGTTGAAACATGTCTAAAAAAAAAAAACTGTTGCGTTATTTACATGATGTAATAATACGTCCGTTGGAAAGCTAAAGGAAACTTTTCCTGTTAAAAATGAATCATGTTAAAAAACCGTCAAATAATTGTCTTTTCTTTTAATTCTTAGTTTGCCCAACTTTAAAATAAAATACAATGTTTTCACAGTCTAACTAGTCATGTAAAAATGTCTATAAAAGTATTCTCTATAAAATGTATATAAACTTATATTTATTAAATATATTTCGTCCAAATTTATCGAAGAAAATTTATAACGAAACTAGCAGGCCCGTGCGAAAAATCGCACAGTATATTGTTCAGTGATCAAATAATAAATAAGAAGAAAATAAAATAATGCAACGTATCTTAAAAAAAAAAATTGCTACTTTTTCGCTAAATATAATATACAAGGGAAACAAAAATTAATTTAAAATTTCTTTTTAATGTTTGGAACGATTTCGATGATTTTTTTAAATTAATTAAATTCCCTACAAAGGGAATTTATTAATCTTCTGTGGACACGTGGAAAAGTATATAATTTTTTAGTTATTCACAAGTCAAGTTTTTCTTCTTTCATAACTTTTTTGTCTGAATTTTCGGGATGATCGGACTATTTTTCCTGCCTGAAGGAGAAGGAAACCTTCAAAATTGGTGGCTCAATGTTGTGGATTTGATGAAGAATTAACGACGTATATGGCTTACCAACATAAAATCACCATCGATAAATAATATAAACTCCTCTCTCGATCATATAGACCTCAAGTCGACGAAATGAGACATGTATTCAATGACAGTACTACAATTAACGTAAGGTTGTATGAATGGGAACTCTTTGCCTTGCATTATCTGGAAACTAGTATATTTCTAGGCTTAAAAACGCAGGAGGGCCCGATATTTCCAAAGGAACTATCACGTACGTGTACGTATCAAAATCTTCGAAGCCCAATTTGATCCGTATTGTCTACAGACTTATCACCGTTCCAGTATTGAACCCTAGCAAAATGTTTATATCAACTTCATTTATTTTAGAAAGAAAAACAAAAACGATGGGTACGATGCGCTAACTCACGTGAAATTTTGAATCCAACGGTACCCCGTTCATAGTATTTGAGCATGACAGGATCTTATATTTGGTACAAAACCGATTTCGAGCCTTATTGTAATAATATATGTGGGGGATGGGGATAAAGAAACTGAAGGTTTTAACTCTAATTCATTAATGCGAAATAATGCAATGATTTTCTTAGACTGAAAATATAAATAGGTCTCATTAGATCCGATATTTAGGACTCCACCTGGACCACAGGCGGATCTACGGGGGGAGGGGGGGGCTTTCGGGCTGAAGCTCCCCCCCAAAATGGTAAAATGTAACCATGTTTTACAGAAAAAAATATTAAAAACTATCTCTTAAAGTATTATTGTTCGTGTAATTATATTTAATAGGACTTCAAGAACCAATTAAACACCATTTCATATAGGTAATTAATTACTTTGTTTTTTTTTTAAAATAAATTATCGTTATATGTATATGAAAAAAAAATCTTTAGGGCTGAAGCCCCCCCAAAATTAAATCCTGGATCCGCTAGTGACCTGGACAAACGTTTAGCTTGGAATCTTCATACCAGACTGAGACGTTAAAACTATACAAACGCTCTAAGCTTCCTATTAATTACAAAAGACTCATATACATGACTATAATAAGGCCTATTTGGACTTACGGCAATGAGCTTTGGGGATGGGTAATGGGGATTACGAGGAAATGGAAGTGCACACATGAGAGGTGAATGAATCATAAAATCCTAGAAAATGTTTCTATATAATTTTATCTGAATATAAATGAAAATTTGAATTATAGGAATATTTAGATTGTGATAAAATAGTTTCATACCTACCCTAGTCCAGCCAATTAGTCCACTTTTTATTAATCGTTCTTATTTTGCACATTTTATTCATTCATGTATCTTATTTGTTATACATTTTTTTTTTTCCTTCAAATTATTGGGGGAAGGAAGAGGAAAGAAACGATATTTTTACCTCAAAATTTTTATTGAAAGGAGGGGGGGGGGGGCGATCGCTCTCCCATAGTCTGCGCCGATGGTGGCCAACGGGTGAACTAAAGAAAGACATCAAGACTTGAGTGTTAATCCTAACAGTTTTGTTTCGTCCTAATAATTGATCAGTCGACTGATTATCCATCTTTAAAGTAAACAACTGTTGTTATCCATTTGGAAGAAGAGTTCAATCTTTTAAGATCAAGAACTGTTCTTTTCGAACGTTTCTTGTTTTCTCTCCCACCCCTGGTCACATGACCTGAAAGGCCAGTATGGCGCTGGTCGTTCGATATCTTCACGATGGTTTCTCATTACTTCACATCTTTTTCCTGGAAAACCGAAGGTTTTCGAATCCAAGATGTGAAGGACGATTTCCTACATCTGGGACATTGTTTTCCTCCAGGAAGACGTCCTTCAGGTGACCCAGGAGTGAGATAGAAGACAAAATATGATCGACCAGCTCGAGGTTATCTATTTTATCTTAATTATCAACGTTTTGAGGTGAGTGGCGCCTATTTAAATAAACATTAATGACCACACGGATCTCAGGTTTCATCATCAATGAAGAAAAATCATTATTTTTAATAATACAGTTCACATTGAGGGTTAAATTCCTGTTTGACACTGGTTCAAGGTGACTGCAGTTTGTCTTGATGGTTAAGTGGTTAATTTACACCATGGATATGGTGGAGCTCCCAGGTTCAAGACTTGTTTCACTATATCTTTTTTTTTAGTACTATTATTTTAGTAATTCTAAATTCATTTTTCAATTAAATTTCCATAACTAACAAATAAAATTTGTACTCATCATTTTTACTATTTAATTTAATTAGACCCATGGATTTATTTTTAATTCAATTAGCTATATGATTTATTATTCTAATTTTAGCTCAAAGGATATTTGTTTTCATTTATTAATATTAATATTTTAAGGTAAGAGAAATTGCTTTAATTTATTTTTGGTATAGCTTTCTGTTGCAATTAATCACTTAATTTATTATTTACTTCAATATACTCATGTTACTGTTATTCGGTATGCTATCCTATGTATCCTTATCAATTCACATAATTTTAACATTTTAAAATAAATTAATTTCAAAGGCACTAGTGGCCTGTGGAAAGGGTAGAGTGGATTTGGTTCTTTATTTTTTGAAAACCAACCCTCAAACAATTTTACTTGAATTTTTGGTAAACTTCTTGAAGACTTTTTTGGGGATGCAATGCCACCTCCCTTCCTGAATACATGCTTGTATCTCAGGCCTATCAATATTTTGCACTTTGCAACTTTCCGGTAGTATACACACTGAATGTCAGTATTTTTGACCAGGATGAGTATAGAAATAAAATTTAAAATATTTATATTAAATTTAATCATGTTTTATTAAATTTAGCAGAAAGTTGATGAGACATTACCAAACCCATATACCAAAATAAAAAAATGACTGCCACCGCAATCCTAAAAGCTTATTTAAAACAGTTTTCAGCATTGATGCAGTATGAGTAGAATGAAGAAATAATAATCAAGCCGAATAGTTTGATAATTGTTTTAACTAAGAAAATTTTAAAGAAAATAAATCTAACGTTTATAATAATAAAAAAAAATATATATATAAAAATAATAACTGGTTTTGAAAATGAGTGGCCAAACCCGAAGGAAATAAACAGCTTAGAAATAATACAAAAGGCCTTTCAATAATCCTTCCTATGCCATTTTACATTGAATCCAATTAATATATATAATAATCCCCCAATGAAATGTTTTTACAAGAAATGCTTAATTATATTCTTTTTCACATTATTCATCACATTTTTTTGTTTTATAATTCCCCTTTTGCTTTCCAAAACATTTTATTTTTATGTTGTAATATATATTCTTTTATTCTCTTTTTTAACAATCGTTGATTCTGATATTTACAATTATCTTCATTTTACTTGGATTTATGGACATCGTTTGCCTTTAATTTTTGCTCGTGATAAAAAATTAAAAAATATGTTCAGTTATTCAGCCTCATGAAAATTATCATTACTAAGTTGTAGATGCATTATTCCATAACTTTTTCTTTTATTGAATTCTTTGTTATCTATCAGACTAGTTGGCCTGATATTTTATTTATAAATATTATTTTGATTTTTTTTTTTAGACCAGGAGGAGGGTGAACTCGATAACGGGTGTATGTCAGAAGAGAATGATGGATGGAAGTGCAACGGCTCCTCCGATCATTCTCTAGATTCAAGGACGACCACATTGACGAGATGGGTTGATATAATAACAGGTAATTTAAAAATAATTGGAAAAGAATCGACTGTAATTTATTTTTGCTACCTACTTATTTCTGATAGATTAAATTTTTCATATTGTATTTGCTTGTTTGTAAGTGCATTTAAAAATTTATTACAGAATTAAATTTTAATTAAATAAATAAAGTATATTTTATATAGATTAATTTTGTATTGCGCTGTATCATGCAAATTAAACATATTGTTGGTTTACTGCAAAAATTCATTAAGTAACATTTTAATGAATTGGATCTAATCAAATTTGAAGATTCTGATGAATTAAAAAAAGACAAAAACAGATGCGCGCATCGCACAACTTTCACTTACCCCACTCTCTTCTTAGCAGAAATAAGTATTTTCAGACAAATAAGAAGTGAAAGTAAATATTATAAACGGTATATTTATTTATATTTTATTGTGGGTATTTTTATTTGTATAAGTACCTTTATATATACAAATTTTAATATTTCTATCGCTGTAATTTATACAATTAAATATTAAATAATACCAACAATAGCATTTATGAATTGCTCTCGTTTTCCTTTGGTTCCTCAATTACAACTATTCTCTCTTATTTCTCCTTTAGTTAATTATCAAATTCTTTCATATTTTATATTTAACTATCTTTTATATTAGAAATTAGTGTAAAATGGTCAATTGTTTCAAATAAAAAAAATTAACGGTACTTTAGGGGAAGCTAATATTAAAAATTAACCATTTAACTGTTAGAGAATATCAATTAGAATAAAAACTACATTTTATTTAAAACTGCTTAATTCATATTGATATGATGAATTTAATCAAAATCATTAGAGCCGTTTTTGAGAAAATCGGAAAAATATGTTTAGTCCATTATATAAAGTGCCACTTCCTGTTAGCCAATTTTGACGAAAAAGTTGCTGTAACACCTCTAGCATATAAAAATCTTAAATATGCAATTTCACTTTCGTACGACTTTTAGTTTTTGAGCTAGACTGTTGGCACACACAGACCGTTTTTCGGGACTTGGTTACTTGGACTCAGGGGACCTCAAAACATGTATTTCCATTGAAAGCTGAGATTCGAAAATTTTCACAATTGCAATACTTTCCTTTACTCTGTATTTCATATACAGGTAAGTGGTGTGGGCGGGGTGGCCGAATGGGCTAAAGCCTGTGCACTGCACCCCTGTAATTGCCCGGCAACCAGATGTATGAATTAAAGATATAAAAATAGTCACGAGTTCGCGTCCCGGTGCCGGGGGAGTCTTTTAAACCCCACCCACACTCCCTGGCCCGGGAAAATCCCGTATAGCCTTAATGGCGAGGAAGGGAAGGACCAAAAAAAAAAATATATATAGGTAGGTGAAAGTAATACTAAAATAGGAATTTGATTATTTATTTTTTGTTATTTGCATTTCTAAATATGTTTTCTATTTTCGGCGATTAATTAAAATACTTAACATATACATAAGAATGAAAAAAATTAAACCACTTTGACATGACTTTTTCCACTCTGTCATAGTTCAAATGAAACACTAACTTATTTTATTAACCATCTGATCAATTAATTCAGTGAAGTACCAGATAGTAACTTTTTTTCTCTGTAAAGTCAGAAAATCGTGCACTTAGTGACATTATTTATTATGTATAAAAGGATTTGTGTTGTTTTTGTACACTTAATGAGTTATTGTATCAATAAATATGATCAAAACTAACAATTACACATTTCAAGGTAAAAATTGACCAAACCTGTATTTAGTGAGTTTTTGCAATAAATTGATGATATGTTATCCACTTTTTATTTCATGAGGAAAAGTTGTTTAGGAAATTTGTGTGGTTTTTTGTGAAGTAAAAACCTTTAATTGTTATTTTCTGTTATTTATAAGTTTTATTTCCCATTGTTGCCATGATTTTTTCCCTTGCAAGTACTGTACTATAATTAAAAAAAAAAAAAAAATGTTTTCGATTACTTCTTACTTTGCTATTTTTGGCATAAGAGGGGGAAGAGGAGGTTGTCCTAAAGGTTCAACCAAACCTATCCTAATCAGAGTGAGGAGGTTGACGTTCATTCCCCGGTCGACGACAAAATAAAATTCAAACCGGCATCACTAGACTTGAGAATGCCAAAGTTCAAGTGATAATTATAAATTGGTGTTAGGATTTTTAGTGTTATATTGTAAATCCTGAATTAATGTTTATTAGTAGGTTTATTTAATGCAAAAATAATATTTCAAATTGGACTTGCAGTTTCTGAAAGAAACAACCTCTTCATCTTTGTTTATCAGTATATATTTATTATTATTTGATAATATGTTGTTAATTTTTTTATTGCAGTACCTCTGATGATGGCCTATGTGACGAGATACATTTTCGGAACCGACAAACTGAGACCAAACGCTTTTGAAGTGCGAGGACTGAACGGCTCCAGTACGGGAGTTGTGCATTGCGACGATGCAGCCATCCTCTCCCAATGGCTCAAATATATTACAGATAACATCATGGGCCTCACCCATTTACAGGTATGGATATATTTCATTTTCATTAAATATTTTAGATTGTTCAGGATTCTATTAACAATTACAGTTTCTCTAATTATTATTATTATTTATTTCATCTCTCTCTTACGTTCTGAGAAGCTTTTGGTTACCTAGTGAGCATATTCATCTTATAATTATATTAAAATTGGCAAACTAACAGTAATAAATTAACAATTAACTTTTAACAACCCATATTGACATATTCATCACAAATATACAGTGAAAAGGCCCACCAACGAAAACTTTAAACTTTCCTATCAAATTATTGCTACTCAAAACAAAAGTTTCATGGTACGTGACTAACAAAACTCTACATACTGACCTCCACCTTCCAACAGTTGAACAACATATAACGATCATTTACCAATGATTTTATACTAATTTAAACAGACATCACAATAGATTTATAAGAGACATGGAATATGAGGAGGAGACTAATAAGACGTTGGATGAGAGATCTCCTTCCTTCGACAACCTAAGTAATTGAAACAACTCAAGGAAGAGGTGCTACTGATTACTTTCTTTCCTCATGTCATTTATATCTTCTATTTCGAGCGGTTGAGCGTGATCTCTGACAAATCACCTCCTTGCACAACAGTTGACCATGAAAAAGTACTTCCTTACAAAGTACTGAACTCTAGACTCTACATGGGTTGTAGTGGTACAGGTTTTTTTTTTTTTTTTTTTTTTTTTTTGTAATGGGTAAAATTAGTGTAAAAAGTGAACTTACTAAAAAATGAAACCTATGTTTGAAAAAAATGTGTTGCCCTTAAAATAATTAAATATTATTATGCTGTCATATTTCTCTGTTTTTATTTTCTTTCTGAAGACAAGAAAATTTTATAAGATTTAAATGCTCTTTTAAATAATTTCTTTAGCCTTCCTAATTCTGCTGACTGTTTCTCCAAAATTTTAGAATTCTTTCACTCTATTTATTTTTTCTTCTTTACTTAAATATATAATGAAATTAATCAAAGAAATACAATAATTTTGTGTTTTTCAAATTATTTTAGCCATTGTTTTTGTGTGGTAATAATCAGATTGAAATATATTAAGTTATGATATAATGTATAATAAAGTATATGCGATCACAACCCCTAGATGTAGGAAGTCATATTAACACGTACTATCAAAACTATCCTATGATTCTTTTTAAATTAGTGTTGGGCTTAGAACTTTGGCACCCCCATCTCTCTCTTAAAAATGTAATTTATTTGTTAAGTTATTTTATATTAGGTACTTATATTGAATTTTATTTCATTCAATATATCTCTATTCATTTGCTTTATTAATAGGCTAAAATTAATTATTCTCATAGTTATAATTTATATAAAAAAAGATTTATAACTTTTTTTTATACCTCACAAGTGGCGGGGGCCCCCTTCTAGTTTGGTGCCTTGTGACAATTGCCTGGGTTTAAACTATGTCTCTTTATTAAATGATAAATATTAATTATATAATATAAATTAAATGTTCTTTAATTTTTTTTTAGATGAAGCTGTACAATAGAAACTTCCCTGCAGCAGAACGTATTGAATACATGGGGTGGGTGAACGAGGGGATACTGAACAATAACCAGCCATGGCAGAATTATAGGCCTCGATTTTTAACTTTAAAAGGAACTGACGTCATGCTCTTCGACTCACCGCCGGTAAGATCATTACCTCAATAATTTTATGATTCTTTATCCTTTATTCCTCCATTTCTGTTCTTCCTAATTTTCTCCTGAACAAGGCAATGTTATCATTCGGTACTTCCATTAAACACCTTGTTGTTGCCCTTAATCAACTCCTCTCCTGGAAATCACAAATTTCCAGTCATATTATTTCTATTCTGAAACACTTCCATCATCTATGCTATCTCCTTCCATTCAAAACCCATCTACTCCTGGTTTCCTCTCTTGTTTTTCTCCAATTTGACTATGGCTGTATGGTGTACAGTGGACTCTCAGGAGAACTCGAAGCCAAACTTAAATGCCTAATGAATTGTTGAATTGTTCTATATGCTTTGTTTTCGGAATCTCAAGAGATATGCATATTATTACTCACTAATATGCCGAGTTGAAGTGGCTCTATCCATCCTACCACTATAAGTATATACTTACTCACCATCTTTCTATATCAGGCAATTAGAACCAAGCGATCCTCCTACATTTTTCATAGCTTACAGTTTAAATCTTCCATTCAATCCCATACGTCTGATCTCTATCTTCTTCCTCACCGAATTGATTAATTTGACAAATCCTTTCTTATCCAAGCCGTCTCCCTCTGGAATTCTTCTATCCTACCCGATATAAGTCATGCACAATCAGTTTCCTTTTAAAGCACCTATTTCTTTTCTAATTCGAGTGATTATGAAATAAACACAAGATAACACTCTTAATACCCTCAGATGCTATTTTCTTTTACTGTGGTTGTTTCATATAAATGTAACAACCTTTTTTTTTTATCTCTCTCTTTCTTTTTGTATCTTTATATTGAACTACGTATTATTTTGTAAATATGTAATTTAATGTATGGCCACACTGGTATGTCTTATTTACTCTATATATTTAATTTATTCTAAAGGGACAACAGTCCCAGGATAATAGAAGTAGTTTCATTTCATTAATTCATAGCTGTTAAATTTAAATATTTTCTGATGACTGTTCATAATGATTCGGAAACAACTAATCATTTTGTAATCAACATTTCCCATTAGGCTAACATAGTGATATGTTTATGGTTTTCAAAGTAGGAATAATTTTTAATGATGAAATTTCAAAGAAGTGTAAAGGTTTTGTGAAAAATTAAATTAAAAATTTGAGCTTGTCCTTGACTAAAGGCCAATTCTTAATTTAAGTTTATTAAAATTCAGCTAATAAAATATATTTAAAACTAAATATTTGTACTCGAAGATAACACGGTCAAAGAAAAACTGGAAAGATGTAAGTTTTGAAGCTGGAAACCATATAATGTTATGATTTCACAGAGACAACATTCATCAATGAACCTAGTTATTTAATTTTATATAATGTTATTTAATGAGATTTTGCAAACAAATCCACGATATGAATTATTAACAGCTGATAGTTTATGGCTCATTTATTCATTATGATAATTGAACCTTCTGATTATAATTAGAAATTTTTATAATTCTTTTTTGTTTCAGTTGAACGTGGGCGATTGGAAAGAGTGTGGTTTAGTCTTCAAAGTTTACCAATCCATGCTGAGGGTTATCAAAGATTCGGAAAACGTCGATGAGAGGCAGCACTGTTTCTTGATCCAGACGTCTGGCCAGGAGTCGAGGTACTTCTCCGTTGAGACCAGGCAGGAGCTCTTAAGGATAGAAAGCTCGTGGCATAATTCCGTTTGTGCAGCTGTGATAAAGCTCGGGGTAAGAAAAATTTGATTTCTTTAAGCCTTATGAATCGCTTTTATTAATATTTTGTTTAGTTTAAGACCACATTTTTAATATAATAATACATACATACAATATTCCTTAATAGTGGCCTCCAATAATTGATGCTGCGCTCTACATTAATCTTCATTAATTCTTGAATTTATTAATATTTAATTATGAAAATTAAGTTGACTATATATGTATGGGTTTTTGTATTAAAATATAAATAATAATATGAACGGTAAAATATAAAGAACTATAGCGGCCTGCAATGATCTAAAAGGTTCTCCTCCTATAGTCCAGTTAATGGATGATTATAGAAGGAAATGACGGAGACACAAGTTTTGACTTTAGGGCATTGTTTGTACTCATAAGGAGGTAAACATACTAAGTCCCCACTCGTAGGTGGTGAGCCAGATGTGGAGGGCGCTAGAAGGTCACTTTTTTCGGGCTTTCGCTTATATCAGGAAAACTATCCATCACATCAACAAAGGTGTTCTGTATAAAATTAAAGCTGATAAAATTTGTAATATGATTGAACATATACTTTTTTTTTTGCTACCTTACTTAGTTTATGAGATATCCGTCCTTAACTATGGCCGATTTTGAAGAAAAAAAAAAGTCTCATGTTTATTGCTGTATTTGACTAGCTAATTCTTGATTGCTTTGTTGTATGATTAAATTGTGGGAAAGAAAGTTTTTAATAATTAAATTTTCTTCAAGAATATATATTATTTCACTAGTTAATCTCCAATGGCTCAGAAGTTAAAACAATTATAACTTAATATATCGATTCTGAGATTTTGCAGAAAAAAATAATTTTTAACACACATGTATCTACGTACAGATTTAGTTGTATAGAGAGTTAGAGCAATGTAATGACCAATAGACATTTAACAAAATTATAAATATTTATTAATATCAGAATTAAAATTAGAATCAATCAAATTATGATTATATCTCATCAAAATTTTATTTGGTTTATATTAATTGCACCAAAAAAAAAGGTAAAGATTCTTGCAATGTTTTAAGCATAACTGTACATGAATTTTCTTTTTAGGTCCCTAACGTGTTTTTTTATTCTTAGTTTCATAAAGATAATATGTTTTTTTTACCTTTAAAAATTTTTAAATTATCCATAAGATAGACATTCTCAAAAACAGTTACGCATTTAATTTTGTGTCCTTCCAGAGTAAAAGTTTTAACGTCTCATACGGAGGCAAACTGGCTGGGTTGACACTGGATTGGAACATGGGGTTCGCCCTCTTTGACAATATCTCGAGGCAGTTCCTCTGGCAGTACAAGTTCTCCCAGCTGAGGGGTTCCTCTGACGACGGTAAGAGCAAGCTGAAGCTTCATTTCCAAGACGCGGAGACCAAAAGCATCGAAACAAAGGCAAGTGCTCTATACTATAAAGTTATACTATAAATAAAGAAATCGGGAGGAGAGCCGCCTGCCTTACTCGTTATCAATCTCCTACTGCGGTAGTGTAGATCTCTTTTCCAGCTCTCGGCAGGAATGGATTTTGACAAAGTAATTTTAAAAGGTCGTGATGACTAAAGATGTTAATGGGTTGCCAGCTTTAACATTCTCGAGCCTAGCGATACTGGATTGTTTATTATGGTTTGGGCAGGTCGATTTATTGACTGGATTTATAATTAATTTATTTTATTTGATTCAGCCTGATGAAGATTATGGGCTGTCGCAGAATATACAAGTATATTAGCAAAATATATAAGAATACATCTTTTATTTAGATATTTTAATTTAATTCATTTAAAATTAATTATTGTTAAGTTTCTATTCTTAGTTAGCCTTTTCTTATTATTGTTTCTGTTATTTAATATTAATACTTTATTTATTTTATCATTTAGGAACTAGAATGCAGTAATCTTCAAGCTCTTCTTTTCTGCATGCATGCCTTCCTCACCGCTAAAGTTGCGTCGGTCGATCCTGCTTTTCTCAGTTCTAGAACACCTTAAATGAGTAATAATTTTACATTTAACCGATAATTTAACATACGCACAATATGTTTACGTATGACATTAACATTATTTTCGAAAACAACAACTAATAACTGTACCAGGTTGTGACGTTCAGTAGCAATATAATGGGGGAATAATTGAAATTAGTTAATTTTTAATCGATTTACTTGAGAAGAGTACTATTAAATTTGTTGTTAAATTTATAATATAAATTTTAATTTATAAGAAACTTAACACACATTTTTAATTAATCCAATTTTTTTTAAACGACTGATAGCTTTATTTTGATAATAAATTCTAATTACTAGAATGATTATATAGACACATTATAATTGTAAATAAGATTAAAGGAATGTATTATACTGTTAAATATATTGTATATAATTATTATTATTATTTCTTTACAAAGACCAATATTTGTATGGTTTAATATTATATCCGTTAATGCTAGATTTTTATTTATTATAAAGAAAATTAGAAATGTAGATATATTGAAGTTATCGTGTCTGGGTAATGTTATTGTACCAGATGATAAGCTTGAACTTCTCTGATTTTATTTAATTTTCAGTCTTTATTTTAAAAATATAAATGTTTCGAAAGGCTCCTCGCACGGTATTCTTTACCTTTTGACAGTATTATGTTTCAACAATAGCTCAATTGTGGTAATCATCACCATTATTTCATTTGTCAATTTTTTTTGTTAAACAAAATTATATAAAGTAAAGTATATATGATATAAACAATTTTGGTATTTAATATTACTTATTAAATTTTTTAATATCATTGATTAGGTAAAATAATAATATGGATTGTGTTTGGTTGATGAATTATCACAAATTTTACAATTTATTTAGAGCTTCCAATTTTAATGTTGACATATAAATTTAACCACTGCCTTTCAAAGTAATTACCGATGGTATGAAATGAATTTATGAAGGATTTCAAATTTATTTAAATAAATCGCACTGAAACTATAAAAGCATCTTCCACTGTTATAAATTTTATCAATTCATCTTGTATCTTTGTAATGTATTCAACTTTATCTCTTGTTATTTTTGTATAAATATTATTGAAATAATTTTAAAATTCTTGTTAACACTGCTTGAAATGTTTAAACTACTTTTTTCATTGACAAACGGACCTAATATTCTGGTAATTTTAATCAATGGCATTATTAATGAATTAATTTTTTTTTTTAAATAAATAACCAGAAATATAAATTATGAATGAAAATAAGTAATAGTAGTATCTGTTTTTTTGTTTGTTTTTTTTTAATTTAAAAAAAATTAACTGCTGGATAAAAATATTATATAAAATTGGAAAATATCTTAACAAAATTTAATATTACGTTATAATTTAGAAAAATTCTAAACCACTTAGCCGTATGTCTCCAAAATGTAGACAAAGCAAACAAACCCGTCAACATTTCACCACTTCGGGCATCGTCAGAACAGTTAATTGAACATCTCTCCATGATATCCAAATGCTATCTAGAAAACGATCTTTGTTTGGGTATACTAGAGGAGCACTCTAGTACTTATATTAGCTATTACCAGCAGGTCTAGTACACAATTAACCTAATCTTCAAGAGATGATAACATCTTGAAGATTTCACAAGTTAATAAAACATCGTAGAAGAAATCAAATCTACTAGTATTCGACGTGCGAATGAAGAAGTCGAAAGTTGTGCGTACATTTTCGAAGTTTATCTTAATTTAACGAACAAAGTCATTTGTTTCGAAGTATTTTTTGAACATCACTCCTTGACATCTTAAGGCATACTCTGCCTTGGAGTATGCGTTTGTATGTCATAGTGTCATGTTCAATTTGCTATTCCTTTCTGTCGTGGCGATGCTTAAATTAGCTAAAAGCTGATGGGTTTGTTTTCATTCCCTGCATTTTTCAAGACGTAATGCTGTGTGGATTGGAATTTTTTTAAATTATAACTGAATATTTATGTTCTGTCTCTTGATTAGTTGGTTATTAATTTATATTAATACAAAAGTTAACGAAATAGTAAAAATAAATGTGCTTGTTGAATTGATTTGTGGTAAATATGCTTTTATTTATTTTCTCATAGCTTTCGCTTAGTAAGGGAAAGTATTGTGGTGATGAAATTATTTTAATTTATTTTTGTTTCATATATAACACTTCTATCTTAGTTTACAGAAACTAATACGATACTTTTAGATCAATCCGATTTATTTTTTATTCAAAACTTATTTTGCTTCAAATTTAATACTTTGAAAAGTATAAAAGTCACTGTTCAAAATATAATTAATAATGTTTTTAGGGAGGAGTAATCCTCCGTAATTTTAGAACAATTTAGATCTTTCCTGACGTTACAATCTTGCGGAGAGATCAAGCCATTTTTTAAGGTTAAAAGTTTTGCTTGAACTTATAAAGTATCAGGCTCAATATTCATACTGAATATTTCAATCTCCATTATTCTTTTGAATAGAGTTCCTAATAAAATTATCTTTATTAGATAGTGTGTTCATTTTTTATTTGTCTGTGAAAATTGGGTTATAACAACAAAAAAGCACAACTTTATCTTAATGCAATTTACAAAGATAATCATTGTTAAACAACATTGGCGGGAGTAGGACATATAAATTTAAAAGGCAACTTGGTTTAATTTTCTTTAGTTACCTGAGAATGAAGTTGGAAACTGAAGAAACTAAGTTTCTAAACATTCTCTGCCCGAATATTTCTGTGATGCTATTAATGTTATATTTAGTAGGAAATGCATTGAATGATGTAATAATGTGAACAATAAAAGAAATAACATTTTCTAACTTGCTCTAACACTTCTGGTATGCTCTTAATGTTAAATTCAGTAGGAAATGCATTGAATGATATTGTGCTTAGAATCGTTTAGAGCTACTAATTTATTAATCGTTTGATAAATTATCGCTTTTCTATCCAAACCAATATTCACTTCTAACATTCATAGTTCGACATCTCAAATTAGGTTGCTAAAGAAATTCAAACCAGGTTAGATATAGCAGAGAGGTATAAATTTAATGGATAACTTGGTTTGATTTTCTTTAGTTACCTGAGGATGAAGTTGTGAACTGAAGACACTAAATTAAATAACATTTTCTGATAGACTTAATGTTATATTTAGTAAGAAATGCATTGAATGATGTTGTGCATAGAATCATTTAGAGCTACTAATTTATTAATGATTTGATAAATTATCGCCTTTCTGCACAAACTAATATTCACTTCTATCAGTCATTGTTCAACATCTCGTATAAGGTTGCTAAAGAAAATCAAACCAGGTTAGATACAGCAGAGAGGTATTAATGTAATGGATGAATTGGTTTGATTTTCTTTAGCTACCTAAGGATGAAGTTGTGAACTGAAGACACTAAATTACTTAATCTGTTCTGCTCTTAACACTTCTGATACACTTAATGTTATATTTAATTGGAATGTCACTGAATTAAGTTGTGCACAGAATCTTTTAGAGCTGATAATTTATTAATCGTTTGATAAATTATGGCTTTTCTAACCAAACAAATATTCATTTCTAATAGTCATAGTTCGACATCTCAAATTAGGTTGCTAAAGCGAATCAAACCAGGTTAGATATAGCAGAGAGGTATAAATTTAATGGATGACTTGGTTTGATTATCTTTAGTTACCTGAGAATGAATTTGCGAACTGAAGACACTAAATTAAATAACATTTTCTGCTCTTAACACTTCTATTAGACTTAATGTTATATTTAGTTGGAAATGCATTGAATGATGTTGTGCATAGAATCATTTAGAGCTACTAATTTATTAATGATTTGATAAATAATCGCTTTTCACCTCTAACTAATATTCACTTCTAATAGTCATTGTTCGTCATCTCGTATAAGGTTACTAAAGAAAATCAAACCTGGTTAGATATAGCAGAGAGGTATAAATTTAATGGATAACTTGGTTTGATTTTCTTTAGCTACCTAAGGATGAAGTTGCGAATTGAAGACACTAAATTACTTAACATGTTCTGCTCTTAACACTTCTGATACACTTAATGTTCTATTTAATTGGAATGTCACTGAATTAAGTTGTGCACAGAATCTTTTAGAGCTGCTAATTTATTAATCATGTAATAGATTATCGCTTTTATGTATTAACTAATATTCACTTCTAATAGTCATACTTCAGATTTCAAATTAGGTTGCTAAAGGAAATTAAACCATGTTAGATATAGCAGAGAGATATAAATTTAATGGTTAACTTGGTTTGATTTTCTTTAGTTACTTGAGGATGAAGTTGCGAACTGAAGACACTAAATTAAATGACATTTTCTGCTCTTAACATTTCTATTAGACTTAATGTTATATTTAGTAGGAAATGCATTGAATGATGTTGTGCTTAGAACCATTTGGAACTACTAATTTATTATTCGTTTGATAAATTATCGCTTTTCAACACAAACTAATATTCACTTCTAATAGTCATAGTTCGACATCTCATTCTAGGTTGCTAAAAAAAATCAAACCAGGTTAGATATAGCAGAGAGGTATAAATTTAATGGATAACTTGGCTTGATTTTCTTTAGTTACCTGAGGCTGAAGTTGTGAACTGAAGACACTAAATTAAATAACATGTTCTGCTCTTAACACTTCTGATAGACTTAATGTTATATTTGGTAGGAAATGCATTAAATGATGTTGTGCATAGAATCATTTAGAGCTGCTAATTTTTTAATCGTTTGATAAATTATGGCTTTTCTAACCAAACAAATATTCACTTCTAACAGTTATTGTTCGACATCTCAAATTAGGTTGCAAAATAAAATCAAACCAGGTTAGATATAGCAGAGAGGTATTAATTTAATGGATAACTTGGTTTGATTTTCTTTACTTACCTGAGGCTGAAGTTGCGAACTGAAGACACTAAATTAAATAACATGTTTTGCTGTAACACCTCTGATATGCTCTTATTGTTATATTTAGTAGGAAATGCATTGAATGATGTGCTTAGAATCATTTAGAGCTGCTAATTTATTAACGATTTGATGAATTATGGCTTTTCTAACTAAACCAATATTCACTTCTAATAGTCATTGTTCGACATCTCAAATTAGGTTGCAGAAGAAAATCAACCCAGGTTAGATATAGCAGAGAGGTATTAATTTAATGGATAACTTGGTTTGATTTTCTTTAGTTACCTGAGGCTGAAGTTGCGAACTGAAGACACTAAATTAAATAACATGTTTTGCTGTAACACCTCTGATATGCTCTTATTGTTATATTTAGTAGGAAATGCATTGAATGATGTTGTGCATAAAATCATTTAGAGCTACTAATTTATTAATTTTTTGATAAATTATTGTTTTCTACACAGACTCATTTCCACTTCTATAGTAATAGTTCGGCATCTCAAATTAGGTTGCTTAAGGAAATAAAACCAGGTTAGATACAGCAGAGAGGTATTAATTTAATGGATAGCTTGGTTTGATCATCTTTAGTCACCTAAGGATGAAGTTGCGAACTGAACACACTAAATTAAATAACATTTTTTTGCTCTAACACTTCTGATAGACTTAATGTTATATTTAGTTGGAAATGCATTGAATGATGTCGTGCATAGATTCATTTAGAGCTACTAATTTATTAATTTTTTGATAAATTATTGCTTTTCTACTCAGACTCATTTCCACTTCTATAGTAATAGTTTCGACATCTCAAATTAGGTTGCTAAAGCGAATCAAACCAGGTTAGATATAGCAGAGAGGTATAAATTTAATGGATGACTTGGTTTGATTTTCTTTAGTTACCTGAGGATGAAGTTGTGAACTGAAGACACTAAATTAAATAACATGTTCTCCTCTAACACTTCTTATAGACTTGATGTTATATTTAGTAGGAAATGCATTGAATGATGTTGTGCATAGAATCATTTAGAGCTGCTAATTTATTAATCATGTAATAAATTATCCCTTTTATGCATTAACTAATATTCACTTCTAATAGTCATAGTTCAACATCTCAAATTAGGTTGCAAAAGAAAATATAACCAGGTTAGATACAGCAGAGAGGTATAAATTTAATGGATAACTTGGTTTGATTTTCTTTAGCTACCTAAAGATGAAGTTGTGAACTGAAGACACTAAATTAAATAACATTTTGTGCTCTTAACACTTCTGATACACTTAAAGATATATTTAATTGGAATGTCACTGAATTAAGTTGTGCACAGAATATTTTAGAGCTGCTAATTTATTAATCATGTAATAAATTATCGCTTTTATGCATTAACTAATATTTACTTCTAATAGTTATAGTTCGACATCTCATTCTATGCTGCTAAAGGAAATCAAACCAGGTTAGATATAGCAGAGAGGTATAAATTTAAAGGGTAACGTGGTTTGATTTTCTTTAGTTACCTGAGGATGAATTTGCGAACTGAAGACACTAAATTAAATAAAATTTTCTACTCAAACACTTCTTATATACTTGATGTTATATTTAGTAGGAAATGCATTGCATGATGTTGTGCATAGAATCATTTAGAGCTGCTAATTTATTAATCTGTAATAAATTATCGCTTTTCTTCCGAAAACAATATTCACTTTTAATCGTCATAGTTCGACATCTCATTTTAGGTGGCTAAAGGAAATCAAACCAGGTTAGATATAGCAGAGAGGTATAAATTTAAAGGGTAACATGGTTTGATTTTCTTTAGTTACCTGAGGATGAAGTTGCGAACTGAAGACACTAAATTAAATAAAATTTTCTACTCAAACACTTCTTATATACTTGATGTTATATTTAGTAGGAAATGCATTGCATGATGTTGTGCATAGAATCATTTAGAGCTGCTAATTTATTAATCTGTAATAAATTATCTCTTTTCTTCCGAAAACAATATTCACTTTTAATCGTCATAGTTCGACATCTCATTTTAGGTGGCTAAAGGAAATCAAACCAGGTTAGATATAGTTGAGAGGTATAAATTTAATGGATAACTGGGTTTAATTTTCTTTAGTTAACTAAGGAAGAAGTTGCGAACTGAAGATACTAAATTAAATAAAATTTTTTTGCTCTAACACTTCTGATAGACTTAATGTTATTTTTAGTAGGAAATGCATTGAATGATGTTGTGCATAGAATCATTTAGAGCTGCTAATTCATTAATCGTTTGATAAATTATGGCTTTTCTAACCAAAGAAATATTCACTTCCAACATTCATAGTTCAGCATCTCAAATTAGGTTGCTAAAGGAAATAAAACCAGGTTAGATATAGTTGAGAGGTAAAAATTTAAAGGATAACTTGGTTTCATTTTCGTTAGTTACCTAAGGATGAAGTAGCAGACTGAAGACACTAAATTACATAGCATGTTTTGCTGTAACACTTCTGATAGACTTCATGTTATATTTAGTAGGAAATGCATTGAATGATTTTGTGCTTAGAATCATTTAGAGCTACTAATTTATTAATTGTTTGATAAATTATCGCTGTTCTGCACAAACTAATATTCACTTCTAATAGTCATTGTTCGACATCTCAAACTGGGTTGCTAAAGCGAATCAACCCAAGTTAGCTATAGCATAGAGGTATAAATTTAATGGATAACTTGGTTTGATTTTCTTTAGCTACCTAAGGATGAAGTTGCGAACTGAAGACACTAAATTAAATAACATTTTTTTGCTATAACACTTCTGATAGACTTAATTTTATATTTAGTTGGAAATGCATTGAATGATGTTGTGCATAGATTCATTTAGAGCTACTAATTTATTAATGATTTAATAAATCATTGCTTTTCTACACAAACTAATATTCACTTATAATAGTCATTGTTCGACATCTCAAATTAGGTAGCTAAAGAAAATCAACCCAAGTTAGATATAGCAGAGAGGTATAAATTTAATGGATGACTTGGTTTGATTTTCTTTAGTTACCTGAGGATGAAGTTGCGAACTGAAGACACTAAATTAAATAAAAAGTTTTTGCTCTAACACTTCTGATACACTTAATGTTATATTTAATTGGAATGTCACTGAATTAAGTTGTGCACAGAATCTTTTAGAGCTGCTAATTTATTAATCATGTAATAAATTATCGCTTTTATGCATAAACCAATATTCATTTCTAACATTCATAGTTCGACATCTCAAATTAAGTTGGTAAAGGAAATCAAACCAAGTTAGATATAGCAGAGAGGTATAAATTTAAAGGATAACTTGGTTTGATTTTCTTTAGTTACCTGAGGAAGAAGTTACGAATTGAAGACACTAAATTACATAACATGTTCTGCTCTTAACACTTCTGATAGACTTAATGTTATATTTAATTGGAATGTCACTGAATTAAGTTGTGCACAGAATCTTTTAGAGCTGCTAATTTATTAATCATGTAATAAATTATCGCTTTTATGCATTAACTAATATTCACTTCTAATAGTCATTGTTCGACATCTCAAATTAGGTTGCTAAAGAAATTCAAACCAGGTTAGATATAGCAGAGAGGTAAAAATTTAAAGGATAACTTGGTTTGATTTTGTTTAGTTTCCTGAGGATGAAGTTGCGGACTGAAGACACTAAATTAAATAACATTTTCTACTCTAACACTTCTGATAGACTTAATGTTATATTTAGTAGGAAATGCATTGAATGATGTTGTGCGTAGAATTATTTAGAGCTACTAATTTATTAATTGTTAGATAAATTATGGCTTTTCACCTCTAACAAATATTCACTTCTAACAGTTATTGTTTAACATTTTAAATTAGGTTGCAAAATAAAATCAAACCAGGTTAGATATCG